GCTTATAACTAACAGATTAATTGCATTTAGCATTTTATGTATGCTGATTGTAATTAGGTCCAGACATTTGACCATAGGTACCTTGAACGCTCGATTAAATAACGCTTCCCGTAGGAAAGATGTGATCGGTAATGTTAATTTGAAATGTCTAACTTTGGTGATACATTCTCTCTCGCAATAAATAAGACACAAATCGTCGTAACGTAGTTTAAATAATTCTAAATTAATTAAAAATACGTAAGAGGAAAGAAGCTAAATATCGTATTCGACTGAAACCGACATCGGGTTACCACCGTAGAGCCACCCCTTACTCTGGTTCAAACAAGGGCGCTGCCGCTATCGGGTTTCACCAAAACAACTGTGTCTGTTCAAACACCACTTTGCTCCTCCGCTACTACCATCCCATTTACTTTCCGCATCTTCATTATTTTGTAAATACGTGGGAGGTTAACGATCGGCGTTTAGTTATTTTGTAGGAAAAAAAACCGTAAAACTCGGGAATTTGTGTGGAATTAAACGAGGGGATTCGAAAATGATTTCATTTCTATTTCTAGTTGGTGTCGAGTGATGCCTGGAAACTGAGAATAGCCCAGCTTATATGTTTTGCTATTTTAGACTTCCGCCACTCGACACCACACACTCGATACGCAGTTTTTGAAATAGAAACAATTTGCTTTCGTATTTTGTATACAATCTACATTTGGCCTCCGTTTATTTTCATCGCGCCCAACGAAACTTGATCTCTTTTAGATTTATGTCGTTTACTGGGAAAAACTCTGAACTGCAACTGCAGCAGCGTTATGGCAAGTGTCATCCATATGTTTACCGAATACCATCCGAAAGGCTGTTAATGTGCCAGTCGTTTGCCCTTTTCTTTTTGTCAACCACCGAAAACTATTAAATCACGTCACTTTCAAGGATCGCCCTACATAAATGAAACCCGATACTTCTACGGGGCTGTAAATAATTTTAGGAACAATTACTGACGACATACAGTTACTATACTACAAAATGATAGGAAGACCACCTATACCGGATTTAGTTTTAAACATGAAAACTGCCTAGAATTCTGAAAGTATCGTGTTTCACCTGCGGGCTTCGTAATTCGATATTAGTAAACTTCAAGTTCATCCGCAGCCACCCAGTGCACACCGCCGCGCCGCCGAGTTTATGTTACATACAACAACTACCCGTAATCAAATTACTTCGTGCGTAATGTTAAAAACTGGTAATTCTTTCAGGGGTCCTGGCGGCAATTCTGATAAGCAACACGTCGAATCAACAGGTTCTGAAAGTGAAGGCGAAGGACAAAAGCCACTAGCGTACTCGAATTCAACGGTACCGGGTGTCTCATCACAATTGGGTTACGTTTTACCCAACATGGGCCAACCTTTATATCCGGGACCTGGAAGCGTATTACACGATTACCAAACATTGTGACATTGGCTAGCAACCCCCTCCGATGTGTAATTTCGGGGGTTATTGTTGTGTACTTAATATTCTGTATATATATTATTTATTTTTGTTCGTTAAAATTGTGTAAACTATTTTTATAATTTGTGTGATTTTTTATGGAAGACTTCTCGCCCTTGATGGGATTTTTGTATAGCGGCACAAAATACAGGCACACAACCACATTTATTACTCTGATTATGGGAAGGAGCTTAATTAGAAAATGTATCTATTGTCGAAAGTTGCGCATTTATTAAGCCTTTGCAATATGTTAGTTATTGGTTTTATTAATGCACACATTTTCCAAAATTATATATCTGCCAATAAAATGTTTCCTAGATGTGTTTCATTCCATGATATATTTTTCTTTTCTTAAATAAACTTGATATCGTTGGTTGCATGCGCAGAATATTTTTAGTGTAGGTATGTTCTGAGATGTTATGAGAGAAAAAATTGTTTTAAACAATGGTGTTACTCTACATTAACTAGTACATAATTGTTTGTTTATTTCGTTGTTCCTGTCCGTTATTTATAAACAGACTGATAGAAAAGATAAAGAACATGTTATATTAAATTTTTGTTTAAATTCATTACAAAAAAGAAATGCATGTAAATATACAGGCAGGCTGTAATTGAATGTCATAAAAGGAATGGGTGGCAGAGAGCGAAATGAACATTTTTTCTAATTAAAATTTAGTAGGGGAAGGTTTTTGTACATGAAAATTGAAGCCAACAGAGAGTGATTAAAAACTGAAAGGGTTTGATCTCCCAATGTAGAAATAAAGAGTAAGTGAACTTAAGTTAAGACGTCCATTTTTGTTATGATATGTGATACGAACAGGGAATTTTTCTTCAATTTATACCTACATACGGGGTGAAGGCTGTACTTATAAAAAAAATATCAATGCTGTAGAAGACCATCAACACTACACGCAACAAGGTTGTTTTTCAATGCACAAACCGTTATCACTGGTACCATGTTAATACTTACACCTTTTCGTCATTGCTATACATATTTCTGTTAAAAAATCACAATTTGATGAATAGTAAAACCTAGGTAACCATAATTTGATAGTTTATTCTTCCATACAAACAGATTATCATTGAACAGAAATTCGTGTTGAGTTGGTTGCCTATATAGCCATGTTATTCCATGCATTGACAAGTGTTCTTTTTTAAATGGCCCATTCCCGAAAAATTCCCTGTACACAGGCCGATTCAAATTCATGGGCCACCATGGGGATCTCGGAAACTGTAAGAGATAGGTAGGTAGTTGAAATTTGGTAAAGTGGCGTATTTTGATGCTTAACAAAGTGCCGTTTCGAAAATGAAAAATTCCGACTACTTTCGGAGACTTTTTTATTAAAAATGTAATAGAATACTTGCAGGTGATGATGTATTCATAATTCATTTCCTGTATGAGAGTACGATAGTATGCATGCGAGATTGTATGTAAATATACAGGCTGTTTCACGCAAACCGTTACAAAGTTTTCAGGCTCTCATATACACCTACTGTGCAAATGCAACCTCAAAGACATGTAAATTACTCACTCACATACTTATATTCCAAAAATTATTAAAAGTTGAATCTCGCGAACGTACGACGTACTATTTAAAAATTTACTGTTTTCTGATTGGCTAACGGACACACGGAAGAGAGCTATGAACCCACCTTTACATGTATATATATCATTGTATATTTATTAATACATATACAATGCATATACAGGGTGACAATTTGAAAACTTACCACCCCTCATATCTTAGTAAATAAACGAGATATTTAAAAAAATCAAAATCCGTTTCGGTAATTCGGAGGGGGAATCACAATGAGATAGTTGGCGATGCACCCCCTCCAACCCCCTGCGCCCCAGCCACCCCAACTTTTAAATCTTAAATAGTGACCCCCCATGTGTGATACGTCGTTGGAAAGCTCTGAAAAAATGCTTTTCAACCATACCAAATAGCATTACATTTAGGTTAGTAATTATCGTGCAAATCAAAAAATAAACATGGAAAATCGTATTTAACTTGAACTTCCAAAGCCGACTTGACAGCAACTCATTTTTGATCGCCAGTTATAATCTATTCTAAAACTCTTGTCGAACCTTTTCAAATGTTGGTTTTGCAATATTTCGACATTCTTGAATTTATTCTCTGTCTTAGTTCGTCTATGTTCGCCGGTTGCGTTTTAAATACGACAGATTTCAAATGTATCATATTAGTTTATTTTTTGATTTGCACGATAATTACTAAACTAAATGTAATGCTATTTGGTATGGTTGGAAAGCATTTTTTCAGAGCTTTCCAACGACGTATCACACATAGGGGGTCACTATTTAAGATTTAAAAGTTGGGGTGGCTGGGGCGCAGGGGGTTGGAGGGGGTGCGTCGCCAACTATGTCTTTGTGATTCCCCCTCCGAATTACCGAAACGGATTTTGATTTTTTTAAATATCTCGTTTATTTACTAAGATATGGGGGGTGGTAAGTTTTCAAATTGTCACCCTGTATGTATGATTATACCATACTATAAAAATTAGCTCCGGCAACACCGAATGCGGAATCACATGGCGGCATGGCAACACTGTGTAGTGTGTTTAATGACTATCGATATAAAAACAAAGATTAATTAACATTTGCTGTACCTAAATAAGGTGTTTGAATAATGAGTTATTCCGACAAACAAGAAGTACCTACTAAAGAAGAATGGCTAAAGAAATTGGACATTAAAGATATTAGTCGGACCTGCATGAATAAATTAATCATGAACTACTTAGTGACAGGTTAGTTCTTTATTTGCGGGGTATTTGATGTAGTATCCTTCTCGTAGAAGGATTCAAAGAGGCAGCCGAAAAATTTCAGTTAGAATCTGGCGTAAATCCATCAATAGACCTAAACTCCCTTGATAATCGAATACAAATACGTGATGCGATAATGAATGGCCGCATACAAGAAGCTACAGCACTTATTAATCAATTACATCCAGAACTACTTGATAACGATCGTTACTTATATTTTCATCTGCAGGTTTGTGTAAGAGTAGTGTAGTAGAATGAGGTTAACACGTGCACTTTCAGCAATTACATCTCATCGAATTAATCCGCAATAACCAAGTAGAAGAAGCGTTAGCATTTGCTCAGTCGCACCTGAGTGAGGCAGGTGAAGACAACTCTTCTGTGTTAACAGAGCTGGAACGGACAATTGCTTTGCTAGCGTTTGAAGATCCATTACTTAGTCCCTTTCACGATTTGTTGCAACCTGCACACCGGCAAAAAGTTGCCAGCGAAGTTAATGCTGCGATTTTAAAAATGGAGCATCAAGAATCGACTTTACCGAAGTTATCAACATTGCTGAAACTTATATTGTGGGCACAGGAAAAGTTAGATCGTAAAAGCACAAAGTATCCTAAAATGACTAATTTGGCATCGGCGTCTATTGAAGATCACAAATAACATAAACTGAAGAATTGCAGTAAATGCTCTTATTTTTAGTTTACGACTTACACTCGTGGATTGGGTACTATTTATATAGAAAGGCTTTCGAATTTAGTTGATATAAAATGTTTAATGTTCGTGTAAATTAATTATATATATATATAAATCACCTTTAAATGTTTTACCATCCTAAGACATAATCCATAGCTTTGGTCAGAATTCCAGTTGATTTTTGAGGTACATTCTCGGGCGTTATTACCATGTTTGAATTTTGGGGAGATACAAAGGACAAACGAAGAGATCGTGCTCTTGTAGGTGTTTTTGGCATAGGACTTTCCCCGCTTTCACGAACCGTATTGTTTTGATAAGGAACTACTCCAATCATAATCGAATTCGATATCAGTTTACCATTTAAGGAAAGAGCTTTGGAGACTTCCAGTGTGTTGCTGAATTTCAAGTGCATCCAGTTACCTTGTGCCGGAAAACGTTTGTCCGTGATCATACCGCAACTGGCAAACTGTGTAAATATACTACCAGACGCAGTCGTGGGAAATCCGAAGACGGTCACCCATAAATTACTGCACGCTGTTGCTTGACGCATTAAATCGGCACGCTCTACGGACGTTTCGTTAAAACTATGCGAGAAACTGTCATGTTGAAAAGAGTTTTGGGTATGTGTAATTGACTTAGGGGTGTTCGTATTAATAGACCGTCTTACGTCCAGCGTGTCAAAGAGACTTTGTTTTGGAGGGCCGGGCGTGGTGTTTGATTCAACAGAAAGTGGTAAATGCTTTGGCACATCCGGTACACTCGGACTGAATAATTTCTGCCTCATTGAGCTTCTATCCGAAGGTGTTAAGTTAAAAGATATATTTTTCCGTAGTTCTGGAGAATTGGGAGATGCTGGTTTTGCATTTCCCATCAGAAAGGCAGGTAGATAATTTGGATTAGCGCTTGGAGAAGAAGGGCTTCCAGGGGCACTACCCAATGTCATTGGTTCCATGCCTAAAAAACAAAGTGAGACTAGTTCAAATTTTAAGAAAAACGGCGATTACTCACTGCTTTACTAATTTGTTTTAACGTTGCCGAGATGGAATAAACGAGTATTTACTGCTATAGGAACAAGAACAAGTAATGCCAAATATTTGGTTTGTCTATGGCCAAATGTTCCGCTCCCGTTCGTCCGTTTGGCGGTTGTGCTTTTGACAATCTATTTGAAGTTAGCGCCAGTCACCAACGTTCAAAAGCAAGGTTTACACGGTACGACAAAATAAGTCATACAACCATGAATGATGTTGCATTTGGCAACGCTGCATGGATAACACGTCAAGACTACAGTGACTTTATAGAGACAGTGGCGACAACAGGGTATCTCGTTTTTGATTGGTCGTTGGTTCCGGTCGCCATATTGGAGCTAAATTCCAAACTGGCCAATAGAAAGCTTTCAAAACGACGCGGTGCACTCCGTGCTATAATTATTAATTATACTGTTTTGACAGTGTCACCTGTAATTGTCACGGCTTCATGTTACTAGTTTACACTTTGCTTCTTGTATTTGCTTTATTTTACGTTTTCCGTCTCCAGTTTTATATAAACTCGATTTTTAAAGACGCATATAGTTTGGATTTATTACGATATTATAAGGTATGTAATTCGCTTAGTGTTTTTAGATGTAAAACTGTGCCTAACCTTACGACTGGTAATTGATGTAAAATTTTTTTCAGGAGCCCTAAATACCTAATGAGTTTAGATAGAAAACTGGTTAGAGAAGCAGCTTATCCGAAATTTAGCAGCAAATTCATTTGTGATCGTAAATACGTTTGAATTGGTTTCATGTTTGCTGGAGCACATGGAATATTGATCTCTTGTACTCCGTGGACTAGATCAACGTGTTTTGTCTTCCATTTAAGAGACTAAAGAAATACTTTTAAGTCCGGAAGGAGCAACACGCGACAGGGGACAAGAAGTGACAGAAGACACTGAAATGTCAAACACAATTTAATGATTATTTATATGTACATTTTGGATATTGCACCATATTTCATACTTATTATACTGTTTTCCATATACCCATACCTTTTTGAATTTGGGAGGCATTTGTTTTCCCATAGGTTGTTCTGCAAAGCTTTAAACGATCATTTCTGCGCCGTTCGTTTTGAACAAGAATCTTTACTTAAATGAAACTGACATTTATTATTCTACGCTCACAATTTGACATGACAAGGTATATTGATCTTACAATCAATTTTTTAGCTCCAATATGGCGGATTATGATAAGTTGTCGCCACTGTCCTTATAAAGTCACTGTAGTCAAGACGTGCCCGAAATACTGATTCTTGTTTTAACAAATCACAGCGATGTTCAAGGCTTCCCTATAATTTCTACTGCTACCTTTTTAAAATGAATAGAGTCTAGACTGTGATCAAAGCAACTTCTTCATTCTTCAAAGTTTTCCAGTTTAATTATTATACAGTGTGTCATATACAATGGGTAAATTAAATATTGAACATAAACACCTCCTTACATTCTCAAATATCCAAGTGAATGCATTGATATGCCTGACAGTTATGTAACCCACCTTACACAAAGCCGGCTACTTACTACCCGTTTATGCATTTGAGCATTGAATTGTCGATTACCTAAATCTAAAATGAGGATAGTTATAAATTCAATGATTTGAGGTTAAAACTTAATATATCTATGGTTTTTAAAATCCGCGCTCTGACATCTAACGTTAATTTCATAAAGTACATTACAAAATTAGTGTGGCGACATCTTTGAGGTGTAAGTTCCAACTAAAATAAAGGTGGTAATAAAGTGTCCTGCATTTAGCGATAAAATTTTAGTCCCCAATAATAGAGACAGATGTCAGCACAATGTATTCTGCTTTGATTATTTTAAAATTAACCAAAAACTCAGGCAAGGCTATAAACATTTTGGGATTTGTGCCTTTCGCTGTCAAAGGAGTAAACCACGAAACTCGAAAATTAAACATTTCGCTCCTGTATTATAGCCTATTCCTTTGCGTGATAGCGTTTTTGGAATGCCCAAAGGACAGGGCGGGTAAACGCACGGCCGTCCGTATACCTCTTTGGTATACCTATACCTAGATTTTTGACGATTTTAATAAAGTATCTGTTCGCAATACACGAGTTAAATCGCCATAAGAGTACGCCGCAAAAAATAAAAATTTTAAATCGGTGATCATTTTAAAGACTTGAGAGTTAAGTTTCATGTGAGTTAGGTTAGATACAAGATTTGTAAAAATTTAAAACGCCCAAACTAATCTGACCTAACCCAACTACGACTCAATCAAAAGTTATAGCCTAGAAACCAATTTTGAAAGAAAATTAAAAAGGCTGTAACTTTTGAACTAGTAGCCCAATCTTGGAACTGTTTGAAATTGTGGAATCTACAGGCCCCATTCTAAAAGAAAATTGTTTTTCCGGGTCGATCTGAGACAATTTTTTTTTCGTGCCAAAAAAAAGGCAGTGTACAACCTTCCTTTTTTTCCAAAAATCGTCTACACCAAAATTTCTCGGGAAAACACTTTTTCTTATTAATTTTGGGACGTAGAATCCAATACAAGTCGTACTTTTTCGATTAGACTTCTCAATCAAAAGTTATAGACTAGAAACCAATTTTGAAAGAAAATTAAAAAGGCTGTAACTTTTGAACTAGTAGCCCAATCTTGGAACTGTTTGAAATTGTGGAATCTACAGGCCCCATTCTATAAGAAAATTGTTTTTCCGGGTCGATCTGAGACAATTTTTTTTTCGTGCCAAAAAAAAGGCAGTGTACAACCTTCCTTTTTTTCCAAAAATCGTCTACACCAAAATTTCTCGGGAAAACACTTTTTCTTATTAATTTTGGGACGTAGAATCCAATACAAGTCGTACTTTTTCGATTAGACTTCTCAATCAAAAGTTATAGACTAGAAACCAATTTTGAAAGAAAATTAAAAAGGCTGTAACTTTTGAACTAGTAGCCCAATCTTGGAACTGTTTGAAATTGTGGAATCTACAGGCCCCATTCTATAAGAAAATTGTTTTTCCGGGTCGATCTGAGACAATTTTTTTTTCGTGCCAAAAAAGGCAGTGTACAACCTTCCTTTTTTTCCAAAAATCGTCTACACCAAATTTTCTCGGGAATACACTCATCGTCGCGCCGGCTATTTTTCCGCTAGCGACAAGTTTAATGGAGGTCCCGCTGGCTTCTTGTCAAGGAAACTGGGACTACTGGGAGAGACATTTCATCGAAATCGGTTATTCACTTGTCGAAATTAAACTGCTTGACACGCTGTCAATTTTACATCAATGCGGGTATACAAGGGACATGTTGTTAGTATCACAAAGTTAATCAAATTATACTCTTTCATCTCATCCTCATCCCCTATTACAATCTAGATAAATTCGTTATTCGTTTAAGCTGACTCATGTGTTGCTCACTGTTAGGCGCTGAATGTAAAAAGTTTTGAATATCGTCGGCGTTTTATAGACATTCGTTCAAATTACTATTCGTCGTGTTTGAGAATCATAGTCTAAAAATGTTATAACAAGTCTCTGCTAAAAATATGCTGAAATCCATTTAAACCTCCGTTTAAAAATTTAAAAACATTAATGATATGATATGCCTAACTTCGATGTCGTTTTCTAGGCGGGCGGACTGCGAACACGTTTCGAACGTGACCGCTGTGCGCGTGTCTGTAAAACCGAAAATGCAGGTACAGAGGTACTGCTGGTAGTAAAGTAAAATGGCCGTGACGGCATTAGCGTGCACATCTCGGCTCCTATTTAGATTCGAAATTCGAAAAATATGTAATTATTCCACATTAATGAATGCTTGTCTAATAAATAAAGTAAGTATTCTTCTTCCCTTTTAATACATCAAACGTTACTTATTCAATCCACATTTGCGACATATCAATAAATCGTTCCCTAAGGGTTGTGCTGTTGTTGTTCGGCGGGGTTAAACCCACTTTTTAATTTATTATTTGTTGCTTCATTTTAGTAGTTGTCGCGAAACTGCTCGGCGAAAGTAAGGTTAAGTTTTGCTTCCTACTGTGCGTTATGAATAATTAATGTGGAGTTTTTCATTTTCGCAATGGTAAAATTAAGTTGGCATGTCTTGAAAGTTAGCTTACTTTTAAATAACCGGAAAGTGTTCAAAGGTTACTTTGATAATAATACCGATAAGGAGTTGAGCGAGGCATTAAACTTACGCATAAATAAATACAGATGAAACATAGTAGCTTATTGATTTTTTTATTCAGTTTATTGCACGAATACTTACCTACCCACCTACTATTTTTTTTTAGTTTACAAACAATCGCAGTAATGAACCAATATGTCTGGTTTCCACCTTTTTTCCCAAAAATGATAAAAATTCACCAGATATTTGGACTTGCCTTTCTTATTTCTTAGACCAAAAATGTTGTTTCAGTGTGCGCACATTAGAAAATATCGGCAATGTCGTCAGTTTACTGTGTCGGTACCTCTTACTGATAAATCTAAGGATAAGGACCAGGATGACGAACAGCATGAATCGTCGTCTTCGTCATCTTCCGATAGTGATACAACGGATCAGGATGAAGACGGTAAGTCTCACTGACGAACACTAAAAGCATAGTGTAAGTTCTATTCTTACGCTATGCTAAAAGTAAAAAGACTGAGCATTTGCTTTACCACCATAAATATAACGGCGGTAACGGTATTTGTCTAAAAATCCTGCACGCTTTACTGCAGATATCTCTCCTAAATCGCAGAGCCTATTCAGAATCAGAAAGCCCCGAAAAGTAGCTACACACGGTATACTTGTTTCGCTTTTTAAAAGATAGTCTGGAATGAGCGATTAATGGTAACTGTGCAACAAATTGAAACATAGGTACTAGACGATATCTAGATTGTTATGTGTCAAATTTCATTATTGCATAATGATGAATTTTCAGTTTTGATTGTACCTAGTTTCAGAAAAAAATATGTGTAAAACTTGAGAAGAAAGTGTTTTTCAATTCTACCTCGTTCAATTGACACACTCGCTACGCTCATGTGTCAAACCATTTACTAATACCATTGAATTAGTCAATGGTCAAACTTCGAACTCCAGTTGAAAAACTTTCTTCTCTGGTTGTACAAAATAACTATTGATTTTTTCATTTTCGAGCGATTCAGGTAGTAGGCAATAATAGTTATTTATGCATCAAGGGCATTAAGGCGATA